TCAGAAGGGCGTAAAGGCGCGCCAGAGCAAGGGCTGCTCTCCGTGTAGGGAATATGAGTACACCTTGACACTGCTAAACCACTGATATAAGACAACTGAAACTCTTCTCGAAGTGTACAACTGACATATGGCTACAAATCAAACGAAACACATCCTTCACTCTACAGTGGACAGCCCAGCTACTGGTCTTTCAACATTGCAAAGATTCAGCCAATATTTGTCCGTCCTCCAAAGCCTCGGCCCAGGCTGTGCCCCCATTTGACAAACAAACATACATTGCATTATAGGAGCAAGGACGCTACTAGGGGCTCCTGGCCATACTACTAGGAACAAGAAGCTACTAGGGTCTCCTGGCCTTACTACTAGGAGCAAGGACGCTACTAAACTCTGTTAAAGCTCCCGAAAGCCCCTCTCAGGGTATGGGGCAATATCTCAATTGCCTCATGGCTAAGTGTCAACAACAGAAATTCTGATAAATTCATTGCGTGACTTTGTGTAGCTTGTATTGCCCACCAATGTAAAGCCAATCAAAGACGCGCAAGAATACTTGTGCGGCAGGAGCAGCATACGTCCTCCCAGGCACCTCCCTCATCTGCTGCAACAAAACCAACTGTGGCACGATCGCCACACTCTCCAGCCAAATGGAGGTAGTCCATAGGACCTGCCACCAAAAAGCTGAAAAAGCAAGAATGAAGAGCAAAGCCGCGCCAAAGCCGGCAAAGCCACCAGGGTGAAAAACATCTGTGCCTCTGCCACAGAGTACTCTTCGGTGCACAGGATGCCCAGGAGAAAGCAAGGTCCAAGCAAATAGATCTCGTACTGAAACTTGTCAGTACTCCTGTCAGCATACTGCAAATGTCCACGCAGTGCGAACGAACCATCTTCGTTTCAATCAAAGGCATTTACCTCTGTAGAATTTCCGCGTCTGGCTGGTAAGAAGCTTTGCATCTCTTGATTCCACACAAACAATATCATCTTGAACGTCCCGTCCGGTAGGCCTTTCGTAGGTCTGAGAGATAGGTGGCTTCACTCGCATCAAATAGATCAAGTAGATCCTGGCAGACGAACGCTTCGCGGCCCGCAGCGCTTCCCCACCTTTTCGGCCCATTCAAAAGAGGCGAGGTGCCTAAGCGTGCCTTTGCATTCCAGAACCAAACAAAAACAGCATACACCCATACTGGCCCATACTGGTAGTACATCATGAATCGCATAAATACACCAAACAAACTCGTTCAACTGGTACACTCTGAAGAGTATGTATGTAACGAAGAATAGTATGGAATAGTACTCATGTCACATGTCCCCAAACTTGTCTTTGGGAGGAATTGCAGCAATAGCAGCTGCCGCTCAAGCACATTATCCTGAGCTTTCACATATAATATATTTATATTATATACATATACATGTATTCTATTTATCATGTCAGTTCTTTGTGCACTTTAGTCCTCTCCATCAGACAAACTGCCAGAATGACGTGGCAGTGATAAAGACCACCTTCATCACAGTATTGTAGACCTGGCAGCTCAAAGCCCCAAAGCTCTAGATGGAGCAAGGCTATTCTGCGCAATCTGTCACACTGTAAGAGGCTGGTGGAACTGAAGCTGTGCCGACCCAAACACCAGCCAGCCACAACATGAGGGACAATGATTCTAAGCCACGGAAAGGTTCGCGGCTTGGATAAACAAACATGGACAAACAAGTCGTGCACCGATCAACACAAGGCGTTTCAATCATCTTGCAGTTAAAAAACACGTCACGTCATTGGATGCAAACCGCATAGGAGAATTACGGCTTTACTGTGGCACGTGACACATCACGTGTGCTTTAGATTAAGGACTACCTACTACTTGCTCTGGCAAGGACGGTGTGCGACGGCTTCCGGTCTCATGGCTTGAGGGACTGAGATGTAGCTCCACAAGAGGTCCAGGTATCGAAAAATGAAGACCAGGGCATACATCTCCTGCGAGAGATCTCTTTCAGATTCTCTTTTCTTTCGTGTTCATTCTTTTTCATTCATTTATGCCACCTTCTTGACTCGAGACAATCAATAGGCACTCAGCATCTCGCGGCAACGTACCAACTCAGAAACAGATCGAAATGGACTCCCGGTGTTCTTGTTGATTTGTTCGACTAACGCCAACCAGAATTTGTTGCTCGGCTTTGTTGGAACTACAATCTAGTTGGAGCGATGGGAGGAAACTCTTCAATTCAATTTAGCAATTGAATGCAAACATGAGCCTGCATGCGGCATGACACTCCCACGCAGCTCTTGCTCTTGTGCAGCTTCCTGCAAACACGCATCTGTTCACACAGGAAAAGTCCACTTTCATCCACTTTTGATGCCCTTTCTGCGTGAAAAACTTGCCACTCAGCCAGCTCAGAACGGACATTTTTGTTCCAAGGCTCCAAAGCAGCAGCATGATGCTGGTGAGGTGTAGCCTTCAAACAAAACAAACTATAGTTCAAGTCCACATCCCAGTAGCAACATGATGTCCAAATTCTTTTGATGGGTTTGCTACAGTAATTGAGGAGCTGCAAAGGTTCATGATTCATTGTCTGGAAAAAGCAAACTGTGATGGTTTGTACAACTCATATTACGTGCGTACGTATATGAATAGATCTATTCATACTGTACGCTGCTGACTGTACATGTACGCTGAATGCATTGTGTTTCTGCACAAAGCATGAGCCTTTATAACTGTCTCAGGACACGACATATCGCCAGCTAACCGGAATATGTTCCTCAGTGAGAGCAGCATGGATTGATCCACTTGTGTGAATGAGAAAATGAAGAGAGCAGAAAAATCATAAGAAAAATTAAAAAATTATCATTGGACAGGAAACACATCCAATTTGGAAATTGTGGCAGTCTCGCTAACCTGAGTGTTGCCTTTCGCTATCTTCCCCTCTTGCGCAGCCAAGCGGCATGGCTGCGCAGGGCGCACGCACTGAACGCAGCCCGTCGGCGCTCCAAAACCCGAGCTGAGCTGAAGGAAAGGAGCGGATGCTGGTGAAGTTGCAATATTTCCGTCTAAGAAGAGACTCGTCACAGGGCATTAACATATTTCGTTTCCATTTGCGCGAACAAAACCTTTAAGTTCCCCATTGATACCTGAGAAGCGGGGGACGAAAGCCAGCAGCCGCCAAACGAGTGTCTCTTTTTCTGGCGGGCGTCGCGGCGCAAGACACATGGTCGGCAGCTTGCAAGTCAGCGGTGCCGCGGATGCGGGGGGGGCGTATGTAATGGTGATGGAGGGAGCAGAGAAGCAAGCGGGGCGGCTTTGGGATAAGTTTGGTATGAAAGAAGTAGTGAAGTAGTGAAAGAGAAATGCGAGACGTTGTATGTTGGTGTAGGTCATCATCACAAGGCAATGGCATGTGTTTGTCACATGCAGGAAGGCATGCATCTTATGCAAGTTGGAAGGCGACGTGAGCATTAGCGCTCTGAGTTCGAGGGGTGGGATACCACATGCGCGCGCGCGCAGGAAAACCCTCTCCATAGTCAGCATCGCCGCGCGCGCGCGAGTACGGCATGTGTTTGAAAAGAAGCAATTTTGTGTTTGTTACATTTGGAGTGTTTAAAGTTTGCAATGCATACTGCAGCGCGTCGAAAAGCGGCATTTTTTGATTTGGAAGAGCGAACGGGCGCGTCTTGGCCGGGACACGGGACACGGACCTTTGATCCCGCGGCGCAGAAGGGGAGGTCCAGCGCGAGCAGCTTGGGCTAGCAAAGGAGTGAAGATTTGTGCGCCTATCGATGCACATGCCTGGACTTGAGTGAGTCGATCCAAACACATTCTTTATTCTTCTCTTTCTTATCAACTCTGCGCCTTTCTCACTCAGAGGCCTTGACTTTGGCACCTGCGCGTGTAGATCTTTGGGCCGTGGACCCAGGCTGACTGGATTCGGCCAGGACTGCCAGCAAAAAGGCGACGTCATGAGTCAGTAGTATATAGAATTTATCTATCTATCTGCACCGGCAAGCCGGCGGTGCGTGTGGTCGTCGCGAGAAGCACCCACTCGACCCAGGACATGGCGCAAGTATAGGTTTTGCTAGGGGGCAGGAGCCCTATGCGGATATGTAGTCAACCTCGCAGGCATCCCCACCGAAACTCAATCCAACTTCAAGGACATTGAACTCATCACTTTCGGTTCTCTATGGATTTCGCGAGTTACGGGTTGTCCTGGGAACACGTATCCTACATGCGGCTGCGGTCTGTTCTGTACGTGGGCCCTGTCTCCACTCGATTGCTCAATGCCCATTGTCCATGATGCTAATGATGCACTACTCGGCGTCCATTGCGTCACTCGCATCACCAGACCACATCTTCACTGCTTTTCTGACCCTCGCTTTGGAGCGCTCTCCCCCACCGAGCTCCGGGTTCACCCTCCCTCTCAACACCCTCCCCCCCCCACACCTCCTTAACTCACTTCGTTCGCTCTAAAAGCTCAAGCCTAGCCTATCGGCTGGCTTTCGAAATATAATAAGTAGAAGTATATTGCCTGCGGTGCCAATATTATCGGGCCCCTCCTGTTCCGAAACGACAATTACCGAATCATTCAATCTGTTGGGATCTGTATGGTACAGCGGGGATGCACCATTTTACTTCAATGCAAGGTGTCTATGCGACAGTCTAAGTGCAAAGTCTGGGAAGAAGGTGGACTCATCGGATGATCCAAGCCACACAGAACAAGCTTTCAACGATTCGACTCGACTGTTGAACATGTGAATTCCATTAAAATCCTTTATTTTGAGAAGTGACTAATGACCAATGGATACTAAGTTTCCACAGTTTGTCAATGTTTGTCAAAGCTCTCTTTCTGGCTTATGAAATACAACTACAACTATATTGAAATATCATGAAACTACTACATAATGCAGCATGTATCGGATCCCAATCCCAGTACATCTCAAAATGCTCCAATCGTCGGCCCATGAGTTCATGAGCATCTCCAGATCACACCATTTCTCTTCGCCTTCGAAGCGAGGCACTGGTTCTTCGGCCTTCGAGAAATATGCTGGTTGACCGTCTCACGGGAAACTTCAATGCCTGCGATCTGCGTCTTCTGCTTGCTTTCGGCAGCTTGACACAGCCAATTCAACCTCATGCTTCGATCAACCCTCACATTTCTGCCCCCTTTTCGCGGAGGTTGCTTTGATTTCTTCGAATACTCTCACCAACAAGGCATTCATTTGTGGGAAAGCAACCTTTGTTCAAAGATGTTCAAAGCAGGGGATCTACTAATTGAAACTTGAAGCCGGACGGACAGGTATTGTTGCGCCATGTTGCGCCTGTCTTACTCCAGCGCTTTGGACACCGCAAAGTTGGCTTTTCACCTCAGGAATTCCAGTGGTCCTTGAACCACTTCTCGAACATCCGCTTGTGGCCAACCTCATCTCGTGGCTGTTCCCACGGGCTTGTGATACGTTTGGTACAGTCATAGAGACTACGAGAGCGATACTACGCCATGATACGACTTTACCCAGCGGACCTCTCTCCTGACTTTCCATACACTCTGATTCGCTGATCCAAAATACATTCAACATTGTTTCTGATTGACCCGTCTCTCTGGTCAATTAGAATTCTCCAGAATCCTTGTGTCATCCAGGACGCTACTAGGAGCAAAGGGCATCGCTACTAGGAACAAGGACGCTACTAGGGGCTCCTGGCCATACTACTAGGAGCAAGAAGCTACTAGTAACAAGAATTAGAATTAGTAGTAACAAGTGCCTTACTAGTAGTAACAAGAAGCTATAGAATTCTCCTCTCACTCTTCGACGCCGGGACCGGCACCTTCATCTCCACGTTCGACCCGGCCGTGAGATCAGCAAAGAATGTCCTGACAAAACCGGGTGGCTTAGGCCTTCGAAGGCCAGACTGGGGAGTCAGCCAAGGCAAGCGACGAGAACCGGAGGCCACCGGAGGCCCCCCTTTTGGGCAGCTTGCTGATCTTGCTGCCAAGAATCTGATCAATGGAAATCTTTCCATCATCACCAGGCGGAGCAACATAGAGCTCCATGATCTGGAAAGCCGGACGAGATAAACACGTCACCAACAAAAAGCAATCACAAGCATGTTTCCAGCTGCCAAGTCCAGTCAAGGATATGCCAGTGCGACACACAAACAGTCCTCCGGGCAATGCATGTGTCCATATCTTTCATTGCAAAGACATGTTGCATGATTTGGCGCGCACACACACACACACACTTATGGATATGCATACGGAACGGATAGCGGTGCCACACGCCGGCCTAGGGTTCCAATTCCTAAGGGTACGTGTACGAACCACTGGATCCTGGAGGTCTTCAAGAGGAAGTAGGGCCCAAAAGGAAGAAAACGAACGACGGACGAACAGGCTGACGACGTTCCGCTCGCATCTGCAGTTCAATTAAAACATCAAGTCGTGAGGTTCTTGGCTTAGCCTCTCGCCATTCGAAAGATGGAAAATTGCAGGTACACAAGAAGGCGTCGTCCGTCTTCGTTGGTCCAGGGACAACTCACAACTGCCTGGACCCCCTGCTGGAAAATCGACAGCTAAACCAAAACAAACAATCCGAAAGGATCCCTGTGATTCCAAGGGTTACACACACACGCCTCCCCAAAGGGAGGCAAATTTCCGAAGTTCTCGGTAGGTCTACCTCTTGACATTAAGCTCCGGACGGGTCAAAGCCAGGTGTCCTTCTGAACTAGGCTCCGGACAACTTAAGATGGAGGAGGTGAGATTTCAGTGAGGATGGTTGGTGCGGTTGCCAGCTGCACCGTGAAAGGCCCAGGCACCCCTGCACGCGGTTGTCCACTAGGGTGTAAACCCCGGCGTAGGGAAGGGAAAGGAAAGGTGTGCGGAGGCGCAGGAAGAGGAAGAACAAGAAACGGAAAAGACGTGACCGTTTCTTGTAAACTGGAGGAGGGATGGTTGGTGCGGTTGCCAGCTGCACAGTGAAAGGCCCAGGCACCCCTGCACGCTGTTATCCGGTAGGGTGTAGACCCCGGCGTAAGGAAGGGAAAGGAAAGGTTGTAGGCCTGGTGTAGGCGGCGAGGCCGGTAGGAGAGAGCTGCATAGCGGCGGGGGCGCAGGGAGAGGGAGGGGAGAGAGAGAGAGAGAGAGAGAAAGAGAGAGAGAGAGAGAGCGAGAGGGAGAGTGAGAGAGAGAGAGAGTGAGAGAGAGAGAGAGAGTGAGAGAGAGGTGCTCCCAGCTACGAGCCCAGCGTCCAAGGACACACCAAACAAGAAAAGGAAAGAGACGATGGTGTTCCCAGCTACCACTCAAGCGTCCAAGGACACACCCGTCAAGAAGAGGAGAGAGAGCGAGAGAGAGAGAGAGAGAGAGAGAGAGAGAGAGGTGCTCCCAGCTACGAAACAAGCGTCCAGGGACACACCAAAGAAGAGCGGGGAGCGGAGAAGGAGGAATCATCACACTAAGGTCCCGACAGGTTCCAATGAACCTTAAACTTGCTTTGACCGCTGTGGTCACCTTGTGCCTTGCCGAAATGGCTGGCTGCTTTGACCGCTGCGGTCACGTAAAGGCATGAGCCAACTTGGAATTCCAAAGATGAGACAAAAATCCCACTTCTTGAGGCATGAGCCAGCTTCGCCCGCTGTGGGCACTTACGTTTCCAAAGCAAGGGAAACAACGACAAGCCCCCGTTCGACGGGTCCACAGGAGGCACTCTGCGGGCTCATCCCGGGTTGGCACGAGGCCAAACACACTTATGGATATGCATACGGAACGGATAGCGGTGCCACACGCCGGCCTAGGGTTCCAATTCCTAAGGGTACGTGTACGAACCACTGGATCCTGGAGGTCTTCAAGAGGAAGTAGGGCCCAAAAGGAAGAAAACGAACGACGGACGAACAGGCTGACGACGCTCCGCTCGCATCTGCAGTTCAATTAAAACATCAAGTTGTGAGGTTCTTGGCTTAGCCTCTCGCCATTCGAAAGATGGAAAATTGCAGGTACACAAGAAGGCGTCCCTTCTGGCTTCACCAGTTGTGAGTCCGTCTTCGTTGGTCCAGGGACAACTCACAACTGCCTGGACCCCCTGCTGGAAAATCGACAGCTAAACCAAAACAAACAATCCGAAAGGATCCCTGTGATTCCAAGGGTTACACACACACACTCTCTCTCTCTCTATCCCCTGTGTATACACTCAACATCACACAACTACTTGTACATGCTTTCTGCTATATTCTCCGGTGAAAACAACACCAACGACAACAACCCACTGATGTTCATTGGACTCATAGGAGTAGTTGGAGATCGGTCGAATGCTTTCGGACCTGTTCCAAGTTGTCATAGTTCTTCAGGAGCCCTTGCTCATATCTGGCACCGTCCGGTCCGAGGCTGACTTGCTCGCAAAACCTATTCCAAGTAAGTGTTCATAAAACAAACCAGGAAGTCATAGCAACAACAGAATGATGCAGAGTTCAGCGCTAGCCTAGGGTCAGTTGCGAGTGGGGAGCAACAGGACACTTGCAAATCGAAGGGCAATGGATAACTGATTGAAATGATGAGAGCAAGGTTTTTTGAATGCAGGACGAAGGTTCTATCAGAAATCTCAGGCAAACAAATCCTATTCAATGGTTCACTGCACATGCACAAACGCTTAATTACAGTTCACAGTAGGTATCTGTACAACTTGTAATTTTACAAGCAAGAAAAGGAACAAACAAACAAACAAGCCAGGGTTGTGCTGAAGCAAGTAGCCCTTGCCTGGCTTGCACGGGCTCCACAAGTCCAGGGTCTACTAGCTTCTGTTCAGTAAAGGTGAAACATCTAGGAAGCATAAGGTGTAGTCACTTGTCATTCAAAATCAGCACGACCAAGTCCAGCAAAGCCTCCAAAAAGCCAGGCGTGTGTTTAACCGTTAAAGTTTAACCACTTTGAACCTCCACTTCACGGCACTCTCCCAAATCCACGGCACATGGGAAAAGACCAAAAGACCTGGCACCTCTTGAGGTCCGAGCATCCTGGAACTCAAAAAGACACATCCAGCTAGTTTTCAATATGAAAACTTATTGCTTCAGCAGCTGCCCAAGGTCCAGACAAAGAAAGGATAAGAAAGGCTCACTTGAAACCACAAACCACCCCAGGTGTCGCTCAAGGTCTCCCCCAGACGCCCCGCCGTTGTCAACGCTGCGAAGCCACTGATCCAAGGGCATGGATCGCCAACCCTCGGGATAGTGCAGCGATCGAAACATGAGTGGAACAACTCGTTTGCAATCACAAGGACCGATCGGAGTCATTTGCACATGTTTGCACTTATCCTTTACTTGTGTGTCAAGACTCATTTGCTTCTCAATAAGATCGGAATCATTTGCCAACTTGTTGCGGCAACTCTAGACTCTGCATGTCACTTCCTCTCAGAACATTGACAAACATGATCCGACATCAGCACGCCCAAGGCAGGACCCGAAGAGGCTTCCCTAGGGGCCTCCCAAGGGAAAGTGTTGAGATGGATAGCTATTAGCAGCTAGCTGCCAAGAAAGCTCCGAAATAAAAAAACATACACACGGATTGACCTGGCAAGTGGGAACTGCCTGTACATGAACAGGAAAATGAACTATGAAGCTAGTACTGTGTGACACCAAGAGTCTGAATCATTCAGGCATGCGAGGACTGCGTCCGGCATCATGAGCTGCTCTGTTCTAAGAGCTTCAAGAGCATATTTACTGTACAGTATATTTATGTACTGTATATTTGCTGTATCCACTTGTCTATTGGATGACCAACCAACCTGGGCTCAGGCCCTGCGCCTCGGGCCTTTCAGCCTCTGGCCTGCAATGTCCAAGTCTGATTCAGGTCGTCAGTCCTCTAGGGGGTGTGCCTTTTGGCATTTCTAGGCAGCCTCTCTTTGAGCATGTCAAGGGGTCAACACCTGTTTCTGAAACCATGGTTCTGAAACTATGTTTCATTATGTTTCTGAAACTGGGGATGTTTCGGAAACTATATATTATGTGCATGTTTTGGACATTGTTCAGCATGTGGTCTTGACAGAGATGTATATAGTTTCAGAAGCTTGGTTTCTGATATGCGCATAGTTTCGGAGGCGCGCATCGTTTCTGAAACACACTCTAGTTTCGGAACCGTAGCTTCTCAAACGCACGCACAACGTGGTTTCTGAAACGTGCATAGTTTTTGAAGCGGGCGTAGTTTCTGAAACAGCATCAAGTCCCTATCATCTCCATGCAACAGGTGTCTGAGGATTCAAGCAACATAATCTGTGTGCTGACAAGATCGATGCCGATGCCCAAACCACCTTGCAGCAATCGGTGCAGGCTGACCTGGCAGCCAAGGTCTGCCAGAACACGACACTGTTTTGCAAGTTGGATGAACCGCAATACAGGAAGCATATGGTTACATGGTTATTCATTCCGCGAATTAATACAACAGGGAAACGCTACACTCCACACACAAAAACAACTGCAAACCCCCACAGCAAATTGGTTGAGGAATACTGAACCAGGCTAGAAACCTATCTCTCTATAACTGATTATGTATGTTAGAGAGAGAGAGAGACTCTGTCTTGAACACAAAAGTTGTTCCAGCTACACTGCTAAGAAGCAACGTTTGGGTTTCTCCCAGCAACAGTTCCAGTCCACTGTTACCCCAGGTAAACTTTCACAACTGTCCAGGCCTTCTCTGGTCTCACAAGCGCTATTCGTCTCCTGTGGCTGGAACTCTGAAGACTATCCTAGTGAATCTAGTGACACTTTTGTTGATACGTCTGGAAAACCATTCTCGTCTTCACACTTCCATTGGATCCCTAGCGGCCCTAGCGTGGTGTCAATGTCGCCAGGGAACCAAAGCTTGTTTCAAAGTCCAGCATGCGTGTAGTATGAAGCTGTCATTGTCCCACAAGCTGATGCCTACTGTCGTGTCCAAACTCCCAAGCACGGTGGTCGCACAAAACTCACCCAACTCTTGATGCACCGCGGTCCGCACCGCGGTCCGCAACGAGCGGTCAGCTCTGATCGAGTCTCCCAGTCTCCCCGAAAGGGTCATTCGTGCTCCAAACAATCTCGGCCCGACAAGACTCCCAATACGAGTAGTTGATGCTTATGCATGGTTTGCCCTCACTTTACCTGTGATTTGTCCATTGAATCATAGAGCCGAGTGTAGCGTTTAGGGTTTAGATGGGATTGGGAAGTGATCATACTGGGTCCAGCATTGAAGGCAACTTGTCCAAATTTTGTCAAGAGATGCTTCGGATTGCGCTGACCCCTCCCAGGTGTCCAGCCGTCAATGAGGTCAACCGAAGCCTCCCCCAAACCATACATATATAGCATTATATAACCTTGCAAAGAAGATTGTCTTTGGAACACACATATCTGCAGCGAAGGTCCTTCAGGAACTGAGACTCAGTGCCATTCTGCTTTGCAATCTGCAGCGAAGCAAGCGCATGAGCATCTCAATGAAAGGGTCATTTCTGTAATGTTGGACTTGCCTTGCCAAGTGGAATGGAATAATTTAAAGATTTCGCGGAATTGTTCCAGGCCCTAGCATGTTTTTGCGGATTGGAAAAAGATAAGGTCCTTCTTTCGATACCGTTTTGGGATGTGCTTTCTGTTCTCCCCTGCCTTGGCTTTAACCACCACCACAACCACCACCGCAGCTGCCGCGGCCACAACTGAAGATTATATTGATTTCTCGTTTCTTTGGGTGTCCTACTGCTTCCTGTTCTTTCCTATTGTTAGTGGGTCTTTGGGCCTGGGAGTGTGAGCTGATGCCTTTCATCAAACAGCCGTTCCTTATTAAGCCTACACCAGAACGTTGCCAAAACCAATATTTCAAGGGGTAGTCCACGGGCGCCCGAGGATTTGCATGGGGGTTCGGACCAAGACAAACAAATGCTTCGGTTTTCCAAAACTGACCACTGAACCACGGATGTCGTTTTATCTCCCTTTGGTGTTCTTTTCTTGTACCGGAGAAATTCAAAGAACACTGGGCAGAAAAGGCTCCCTGCTAATTTAATTTCCTGCTGTTTCCCTTTTCAAGACAATTCAACAAAGCAACATCAATTAAAAAAAAAACACATTTCCTTCTGGTTTGCTTTCTAAGGTATCTTCAAGCTTCCTAGAACAGACTTGCTGGAAATGTTTTGGGCCGACTCTTGCTGTAGATCACCCCCAGCTCAAGATCCCAGATTGTAGAGTCTTAAAAAAAGGGGTAGTGGGAATGATACTGCGGTTTCCAGGCGGGGCGTGGGTGAGAGTTTTGAGTCAGCAGGAGATTCGGAGATCCTTTCTGAGGAAGGAAACAACATCGCTTTGCCCTCACCTCTCGGCATTTCTTGACCACAAAGGCTGAAGGATTCCTGCGTAGACATTCGATCGAAGCCACCCTGGGATGATGGTAGGTATTCCTGGCAGTCGTCTTCAATGAAAAACCTTCTCGTCAACCCCGTTCGGGAGCAAAATCAAATCCATTATGTCCTGTGTATAGTTACAAAGGGAGGCGATTTGTGATCTGATGATCTCCAATCCTTGTCGACTTGGATGCCAGAAGCCAAGAAGCTTTGGCTGGCACCAAAAGGCAACACATCACAGCGAGGAGGGGTTTGGCATGGAAAGCACAAGCATGGTTTGCGCAACTCTTTCCTGTCCTGATACTCCCCTGTGTGTCTTGAACAACATGGTGGAAGACCTGGAGGCCCTGCAGTGGCACAAGCGAGGCAAGATTCAAGTTCATCTGACCAAGCTCTACCCAAGCTCAGCTTCTCAAAGGTACGACTTGACAGGCTATTTTCTGACATGGTGCGTAAAAGTTTTAATTGAATTTTGGAAACATAGCCTAGCATAATGTTGTTACTGACAAGGAGGTGGACATGCATGTAAGTGCGATGTTTGTCCTGTAAAGCCCATGCTTTTCTTTTGTGTGTGTGTGTCAACCCCTGTTTCGAAGGGTTCTTTGTGACTCGCTCTCTTTTTATCAATTTGCTAAAGAGTACTATATAAGTACTAAGCAAATCTAAGCAATAACAGCAGGGGGCAGGAGCACCGTTGCAAGTCTCCTGCCAACGAAGACACTTGCAATCGGTGGTGATACCAAACCTGATCAGTCTGGCGTACCTGCAATCCAGTTCTGTGCTAAAGATTCCTTCTGCGTTTCAACATTTCTGTTCCTCCGACTCCATCGCCATTCTGTTTTGCCAAGGTCCACTGCAGTAAGTTGAAGAGCTAATGCATCGGTGAGTCATTCACTGATTGAATGCTCGACCCGTTGAGCTCTATATCTAAGTGTGCAGCGTGCAACGCCCTAAAAATCTAGGAACCAAATCATTAGTGCAAGCGCTTCTTCAAGGAAGCTTCTCCGGCCGCCTTTAGGGCGGCGGGGGGAGCTTTCTTCAAGAAGCGCGAGCTCTCCTGCGTCCAGTAGTTACAGTAGTTAGTAGCTTACTTGCAGGTATATAGTAGCTACCTACCTAGCTACTAGCTACCTACCTCTACTCGCGGCCTACCCCCCCCCCAGTCTAAAACCAAAAAATTACGAGCCTGGTAACCTGGCACCGCTTTCAATGCAGCTTTGGCATGTTCATCCAACCTCGCTGGTCGCTTCCGGCTTTACGTATAGGGCCCCGGCAAACCAAAGTATCCAAATGCACTTGTGGAAGCTTGGCAGTTTTCTGTCACAAGTAGATCGCAGTGTCTACATGTGCTGCTGTCGATGCTTGCCTTCTCCGTTGCTTGCAGACATGGATGGGTCAATCTGGACTTAGCTCAACACATAATATCGCTTTCGTCCACCAGCGTCCGGACCTGTGAGAGGGGGAAGCTCTTTGAGGGAAGCAGCCCTGCAAAATCTGACTTTTTCACATAAAGTTCTCGGGGCTGTTTCTGGAACCTTATACAAACACCATCTAACTGACAGCGTCTGACACCGTTCATTGCAGGAGAAAAGCAGGTGAGAGAGGCTTTAGTAAGGAGAGATTGCAGACTCAAAGTAGCGGATGTGTGCCTTGGCAGCATACTCCTTCTCCATTTCATCATTGGCCTCTGTTTCTGCATGCTGCCAACATGGCTTTCTCAAATGTAGGGGCTTCTCTGCTATTCTTGAAAGAGCCCTGTAGTAGCACTATCCTTTTGCCAAACTATGATTTCATCATCCAACATGGGTGGTCTCTTGGCATCCAAGATCTCAGGCAATTCATGTTTTCACCCCATCAAGCTCATTCTTGAATCATTCTTTGTTATCTCAGGTGGAACATGGCTTTAAATTGATCTTTGGCACTCTCAGAGCTACCAATTCTGTGAGCGACGCGATCACGCTTCATGGCCTCGTCCTGTCTCGCAATGGGTGTGAGATTGATCACTCCTGTCGGACGACAGAAATCGGTTGTTTAGCTGCAGTCGAGAAAATCTGAACGTATATCATATTGTGTCCTTGTGCATAATTTCACGGTCAATAACGGATGCAAATAGTCACTTATTCAAAGGTACTTAGGCAAGAATCCACCAGTTGGTAGGTAGGCAACAAATATGGTATAAGCTACTATATGTATATATATATATATGATTTTAGGTTTAAGGTCTTAACATTTACTCCTGCTGGGTTGTCCTTCTGGACACATTTCCCTACGAAACATCTACAGTACTTTTTGCTGTCGTATGTTATTTGCAATACAGCCCCGAGTTGAAAACAAACGTTCCTCAACTAGGTTGGAGGCCATCGCTATTAGGTGATCAATCCAGGCTAGTCAAACACAAGCCAGCACGAATGACCATCGATGTCCGTCCAATGACCAACCATCCAGGTTTCTCTCCTCTTCTGGGACTTCGGCCTTAGCCACACAATCGCTGCCCCCAGTAGCGTCCTTGCTCCTAGTAGTAAGGCAAGGAGCCCCTAGTAGCGTTCTTGCTCCTAACAAACATTGACATTTCAATATTGGTGGAAGGGTTCAAGGTCAAACTATAAAGAACATAACATATTCTATTGACAATAAGCGCCTCACAGCTTAAAGGATTGAGATAGCAAAGTACGGGGATTAAGAAATACAATATATTGGTGTTTGGGTTTGGGCCACAAGCTAAATGTGTTTCTGCATTGAAAAGTTCAGAGCCATTAAATCATATTAACTCTAATGAGTTTGACTTCAAATGTGCAAAGCTCCTGTTGACTCGTTGACTCAGTGATTTTGTGTCCTGGTGATAAAGCCTTTGCTACCACAGCCGGGGTATGGATTCAAACAAACACATTTTGTTCAACTCTATTTGCTCCAACTCACCTTGAAGGCATGCAAATCCAAGCGTGTTCACATACGTACCCTGCTTGGAACACACGAGGAAGTTATACAGGTGTCTTCTTGCAGTGCTTCCACAAAGTGCATACTTGATAGTACTTGCAAACAATACGTTACACAATTCTTGGAAATGGATGGTCTTTTTCACCAGTGCTATGAGGACTTTGGACTAGGGGAAGCCTCAACTTTGAAATGACTCGGTTCTTGTTGCTTGCCTTTGCCTCTACCAGCAGGTTTATGTTTTAATTTCATTGATGTAAGCTGTGTTGTAGTCAATGAGAGCAAGCCTGCTTACTTTGTTTCACTGTCAGCTTGGAGCCGTTGGCTCGACGCCATCAGCTGTGTGCGCATGGATTTAACAAAAGCTAGGTGTGAATACATTGGCCAGCGAATTGATTGGCAGCTTTGTTGCTTTTATAGGCTGATGATTTGCGCCCAAGACACTTGCGAATTGAGAGTCTATATAGACCATCTGTCAGTTCTTCCCTCCTTTTTCCCATGGCAACCTTAAATGATGTGGGTCTGGAATCTGACCATCTTGTCACCATGAGGAGTTATCTCAACATGTGAACCACGTTGCCCAAAGGAATTGGAAGACCGCCGGTTAGTGAGGAAGGTCCTTACGGGTGGATTGCCCTCGAGGTTCCTTGTCAAAACCAGCCGTGTGCAAAACCACCCGTGTGGGCTGCGCACGCTCAAGACATGTCATAGCATTTGATAAATCCATGGGCAAAACGCCCCGACTCCACAAGACAGTGAGCAGTCTTCAGACCAACTGACAAACTAAATAGTTTCTCCGACCTAAACGTGCTGTTGTCGTTAGTGCGCACACAAGATTAAGCAACCCCCCTTGTTAATCAAGCCCAGCTGGAGCCTCCAATACTAAAATAATTAATACCCTGCAACCTCCCCCTGATATTTTTTTCCCTTGCCAGAACCCCCTATTAATCAAGCCCAGCTGCCCCCCAAAAAAAACAAACATATCGCTTACCATAATCGTTTCTTGCTATTTTATTTTTGGCTAGTATCCAGTATCTTCTGGCCCATGGTGAAACTGATCTTCTGATCCACCCTTGTCTCATACCATCTCTTTGAGAGATAGCACTTCCATCCTTCCCTGTTACAACGCAAAAAAAAAACTCACTAGCAGAATACTTTCATTTTCCCTTCTTAAAACTCTATCAACATCTTAAGGTTTTCAAGCTCACAAAGGCTCACACAGGCCCTACCTCTTTGTAATAGTAGGGTCCCTCCCCTATTAATCAAGCCCACCCTCTGGCCTCCATCTTGTCTTCAATCTCTTTCATCCTGCAATCCTCTTTCTTTTCCTAATCATCCCAATCAACCATCATCAGGTCCAGGTCCTCATCTCATCATCCATCATCACGTCATCATCTTCATTAAGGGGATGTGGTCTCCAATCTCTCCAATCCCAGACCTTGTTGACCTTGAAGGGGAGTTGATTAATCCGGTGTTGACATTAGTCTGGTGTTGCGCTGGATCGTTTGGCAATCAAAGCGTCTACCATTATTAGCAACTTGGATGGTTGCTTGTCATTCATATCCACTCAACTATGCAATTCTTGAGAGTGAAATGCACAAAACATGTAGTTCCTTGGAGTTCTCCCCGCCTTGAAATGCGATTTGAAAGAACTCAGGGCACATATTGACAAACTAACCGGCTATCCTGACAAACGCTGCCTGGCATGTGCAGTGACACAATATTCCGAAATTTGTTCTCGCATCAACTCTGGTATATGTTATGACACATCATCTAGCATAAGGGCTTGGACATGCTCTGGAACGTGTCTTGACACCCTTCCTGGCATGTGTTCTGACATTCTTCTTGCCGTCAAGTCTGGCATGTGTTCTGGCATGAACTTCTGACATGTGCTCTCACGTCACACCTGGCATTGTTCTGACGCTCATTGTGACATATGGATCGACTTCTGTTCAATTTTTTTTTCTGACATTTGTTCTGTCATGTGTTCTGACACTTGTTCTTTTGTTCTGACATACGTTGGTACGTGTTCTGATATGTGTTCTGTCATGCGTTCTGCCATTTGTTCTGCCATTTGTTCTGAACAGTGGTCCGTTATGTGATCTGGCAAACAAATATTCTGACATCCGTTCTGACATTTGTGCAGACATCAAGTATGGCATGTCTTCTGACATGTTTTCTGGCAAAAGTCCAGGGTGCACCACAAGTCCAGCGCGCACCTCACCTCACCTCACCTAACAGTCCAAAACCCACTTCACAGGTGGACACTTGCACAAACCTCACCCTGAAGTGGGCACATCGAAGTCGGTACCTCCAAATGGACACCTCGAAGTGGACACCTCGGCACCTCCAAGTGGAGGGAGAAAACACTTGAGTAATTTTCAGAACACCACAAAAAAGCCCACCAGTTCTGTTTTGGAAAGGGTGAGAAATGTGAGAATATCCCAGCTCATGTTATATCTCCATCCATCAACCCCTCGGCTCTAACAAAAAAGAGGAAAACTGTACGGTGGCGATAGCCAAACGACATTGACTACGTTCTTGCTCGCCAAGATACTTCGCTGCCGGTCCTCGAACTCTGGGCTCGCCTACACCGGTCAAATCAGAACAAAACCTCTTCCTGGAGTGAATCACGAGCGTGGAACAACCCAGTCCTCCATCCCAATGAGTCGAACAACGGAATCTTCAAGAACTGCACAAGAGTGTCAGTTTCTAGCTCTTATTACTATCTGGCCCCTTGTTCTCCAAGCCAGGCCCCCATGACGACAGCGTTCTCTATTCTACGCCGGCTGACGCCTCAAACTCAGCTTGAAAGTCGACTCGAGTCGAATCCATCAAACCATACATATTGCAAGCAACATATTGAGCAAAACCATGGAAAGAACAGCTATGACACCCCCCAACCGTCCCCTGTCTTCCCGCTGTTGGGTAATGTGGGACGCCAAATTGGTTGCCGAAATGACTGACCTGGGTCTGCAAACCTTCTTTTGCGCAAATAGCAAAGCCTGACAATTCCATTTGGGTTCAAGGATTCAGTTGATCATGGCAGTGGATGCCGTGCACTGGCGGCCCGAGATTCGCCAGCCAGATTCGCCCGTGAGTGACTGTATTGGAACCCTGGATAGCACTGTTTTCAGCTTATGTGTATCATTCCGCTGACAAGAGGGAGCAAGTTTACACCCTCATAAGTACAAACATTGCAAAAGGAAACCCAAGCTCGAAGATAAGATAAAGTCCAGTCGACCAAAACCTTCTGCCCCTTCGCTTCCGTTGCCCTAAAATAAGAAAGAAGTCCAACTCCTGAGCTCTCCCCTGAAGGATTCCTGAACGCGTGGCTCATGAGAAATTACTTCTGGTTCACCCGGGCCTGTGAATTCAGCATGAGGGAGAATTTACAGTAGCTAGTCTATATATAGTCTGATTCTGTATGTTGCGTATTTCTCTGTAAGAGACCACAAGGGCCACTGATCAACCTCAGAGTGACAAATGTGCGCACCCGCATGCACTACTGCAGGGCTGCTCATGACAGGTATCAATGCAACAGCATTGCGGGTATCTACATTTGGCCGTGTTTTCTGTCTTGGACAGCGGCCATTTCCTTATTTCGCCGCTATGCGAAAACAAGTTCTGCGTGGGTCCCAGAGTCATTCACTGAATCACAAGTCTGCCACTGCCTGTGGTTTGGCTTGCAGTAACTGGATGTAGGAAATGTGTAGGCTGAACAGGTGGTTCAAAGTTCAAAGGCAAGCTCGACGCACCTTGACCTGGGACCTCTGCTCCAAACTGCAAACACTACTCATCACTACGTTCTCCGACGATGAAGGTCACTAGCGCTTCCTCTGGCCAGCTAGGAGTGTAGTGGCTACAATCACCAAGCCAACGAAACGGGTGGATCAATGAATGAAATAAAGAGTCGTGAGATTGCTCGATCCAGAAATACCTCAACCTCAACCTATGTTGCCACTCTTGTGAGTGAACAACCCATCCCAGGGGTGTTGCAACCGATTCAAACAACATACACTGTACAACTCAATTGGCTACCAAGTTGTCAAAATGTGGTATCTGAGCAGGTATGCTGTACAGTATGCTGGTCAATATTATCTGGCATTTGCTGGATTGAATATTCCTTCTCCAATGTGCTTTAAATCAAACACCTGGGCTCTGAGGCTGTCCGTTTGCTGACACAAACAATATAATTATATAGTTAATGATGCCACTCTGACATGTGAGATTCTGAGCTGTTCAGATGGAGAGAAATCCATGCAATCAGTTGAGCTGTTATCTTCACAAATCATGCTCATCTTCTTCATGATGTTGTTCTTATATGATTTTATGGGTTCTGTCTTCTTCGACCAAATCATGTTCTAACTCATCTTCAGTTTTGCCGATTCTATTTCTCCCAGCTGCACACTCTCATGCTTCAAGGCCTCTGAAGCTGTTGGATTGCTTCACAAGTTGATCGTGCCCAAGACGCAACCCTAGTTACAGTATCACATTCTATCACTCCATCTGCAAAAGCTTGATGCTTCCTCAACAAATCAGGAATCTTGCAAGCAGTGATGTGACACCAATCTTGCAAACGGAAGGACTGCTTGGACGACGTGCAACCGAAAAAGACTCTCACAGGACTTCCCAGCCGGACCTCATCTGATGTGTCCAGCGGTAGCAGCGCGTGTGCCCGCAGGGCCAACGCAGAGTGCCACTGCCTGCCAGCGCAATCACTTGCGACAAGAACCCCCTCCGGACGTTGGTCGCCGATCCAAGTGGTGGAAATCTCATCCATCCAGCGCATTGATTATGTTTACATATTTTTTTGTCCAATCTACGTAGATCAAGAAATAAAGCTAACAAATTATGATCTTAAGATCTATTTAGAAGTAGAGTCTTCCCCTGCAACATCCGAAACCAAAGAGGCGAGCATCAGGTTTGTCAAGACGATTGTCCTTCATTACCCAAGATGAAGATATGTTGGTAGGGTATAAAGGCTTAACAAAAAGCTGCAATGAGCCACACGCTCCGAAAGATGTTGAAACCTGTTACGTAATCCTAAGCAAAGATCTAAGTCGACTTTATCCTCATCAGGTGTATGGTACTGCTTAATATATGATCTTGAATATACTTGCTGGATATCAATCATAATACCTCTGCGTGAAAGGCAGCAACCATCCGGCTCCGTTGAAGTGGCACAAATGCCCGGTCCGTCCGAAAACGAGGTCATTGGATCATTCATCGGAATGATCTGTCGATTCAAGTGATTGGCCATGATGGGGCGTTTCCATCCCAGGGCAAAACATCGTCGCCGCACCCTCTTGATGTGCTTGTGGTTGGTGGGGCCGAAGCTCATGTTGCTCAACCTGAGAGTAATTCACTCGGTGAGTTTGACAGGCATTCGCGGGCGGGCTCCAGGCAAAAGGCATGTCAGTGACCACAGTATGTGGTCTTCAATCAACCTGAATCATCTATATAAGCTTCAGCTACTGCATGGTGCAAGCAATGTAGGAACCCAGTGGAGGATTTGCCGTTCCATTGAGATACATTCCAAATGTCAAAAGAAGCTACTGCAGGGACAGCGAGAAGAAACAGGACATGTTGGAAGGCGTGTCGGGTACAAATTAGTATATACTATACCTGGACCGTCATGGTGTGGAACACCACTGGATCTCCCCCTTTTCCAAGATCTCCCCTTTTCCGCTATGCATGGCGCCGCATGGCGCATGTTTTCTCAGAGGCACTTGTTCATGGCGAGCACCATGTTTTGGACATCGGATTTCATGGAAGTGATGTTCCTGGTAGCCACTGAGCACGTCGTGGCGTGCTCTCGTTCGCTCTCGTTTTGCTTGGTCGAGAGCAAACCGTTTCCAGTACATCACCATGTTCAGGGCTTCAGGGGACCGGCCTTTAAAAAGAAATAGCTTTATTGCTCCTAGTAGTAAGGCCAGGAGCCGCTAGCAGCACCCTTGCTTCTAGTAGCGATGCACTTTGCTCCTAGTAGCTTCCTTGCTACTAAGCTACTACGCAGCCAATTACCGCTACCCCCAAATCCAGGCGGCGGAAGTGGATCTCATACGGCGTCCGAAAGCGTCTTCCATCCCCCAGACAATGCGATGCAGTCCTTTCCATGTCGTTCACACGCTCCTGTCCGAGTGTGCACCGCTCGGCCGCTGGGGATTGCAAGGGTGATCGTGCAAAGTAGAAGACCCGTCTCCCTGACAGGAGCCCTATGCAGCTACACCAAGGATGCCTCTACAAATGCCTCAACCGACCAACCAACCAGCATGTCCTTTCCTTGGCCTCATGTGCTGCAGCTGTTGCAATGGGCTATGAAAGGCTGAAAAGCCAAGGCGACAAGGACGCAACCAAATCTACTCAAAACAACACGACCATTTTTGCCCAGAATGTGAGGAGCATTGCAGGTTGGCTTGGCCACTGCATTGCAAAAACGCTTCAACTAAGCAGTCTATCCAACTTGATGACCTTCAGAAAGTGGGTCGCTTAGGGCGTGCCGCATACACAGCAAACCGCAGAAGATTCACCCTCCATCAACGGACCTGGGGGCTTCTTCCTCAGATCTGCGATATCAAGAGAGAACCCCCATCCTTATACCGAAATTTGAAGAAATGGCCTTGCACATAGCACAGTTGTCTAACCACTTGCTCGACCACAACAACCGTGTCCAGCAAAGGCTTGCAATCAAATTCGACGATACAATATGATAATTAATGACTGAAACGTGTTCGATCGGTGAAACGTGTTCTATACGTCTTCAAACCTCGAGAGTGAAAGAACTGTCTGTGTGATCTACGAAACAATAGATCAATTGATGTAAAATGATGTATGATGTGTGTGTATACTTGAGGCCAAGGGGGGGGGCGAAAGCTAGCGCTCCAGAATGGGAAAGTGGAGGGCAGCGAGCGAGGTAGGAAAAAACACGGCGCTCTTTTTGGAGGCAGGGGTGAAGAGTCCTTTATATGTGGCTCTTTGCCCGGACCCTCCTGCGAGAGAAGAGAGAGAAGAGAGACGGAAAGACGAGAGACAGAGAGGAGAGAGAGAGAGAGAGAGGAGAGAGAGATGAGAAAGAGATGAGAGAGATGAGAGAGATGAGAGAGACAGTGAGACAGTGAGACAGTGAGAGAGTGAGAGTGAGAGTGAGAGTGAGCGAGTGCGGCCGCAAGATACGCAACGCTAACCGCATGCCAAAGAGCGACGACAGGACGGAGTCGAACTTGCGAAGAGGGAGGAGGGAGGGAGGGAAGATGGGAGGAAGACAAGGAGGAGGAGAGGGGGGGAGGTGGGGAGAGGGGAGGTGGGGGTCGAAAGAAACCTTGCTATCGCAAGAGTAACTCCAGCTAGCTTCGCTAGCTTTCGTGATATATATATATATTGTATTTAATATACAAAAAAGGTTGAAGGGAAGCAAAGAGATACCGAAATGACTAATATTGTGAATGCCTTGCACTAGGTTGTACTCGCGTAGTGTTTCCGTTGCACTCCAGTAACGTATCATATATGTGTTTAAACTTTACATCACGCAATTGTCGATTCAAGAACACATATGGGACTGAAAAATGAAAATGATTCCCAAATACTA